CTTATTATATATATTTAGTTTCGAACACATTGTACAGCATAAAAGGCTTATACAAAGAGTAGAGTTGAACTATTTTTTTCCTAAAGTTTATCCATGAAATTAGGAAGTATAATTAACTAGTAAGCTACACTTTATATAAGTTGCCTAAATAATTTAACTTGTTGTAAATAACTAAGCAAATCTGAAGTCGAACGCTGAATTAACGAAAAAACTTTTTTTTAATCAAACAACATTTCAACAAATCTTTGACGACCTAGTTTTGATATCCTTACCTATATTATTTAATTGAAAATATACATTTTTTAAAGCAAAATAAATTTATACTACTAGTAATACTAAATTCATATTCCTGTGTCACGAAGAAAAGTTTTCGTATTTACGCAAAAACTTTTCAGGTAAGAAAACAGTAAATAAGATTTTTTCCCCAAGATTTTCGAACTCTGAACAGGAAAAATGCATTCGTTAATATTCAAAGAGATTTATTAATTATTCATCTTCGCTATGTCTTAATAGAACTTACATAGAAAACAATGTCGCTACTTTTTTCAGCTTGCAAGCTGCTATTTCAATTACCGCTCTAAGATGTTTTGGATTGAATCTGTGCCAATATGCAATGTTTCTGACATTTTTTAACTGTTGTATAGTTCTGAAATCAAAAGTTATTTATTTTTCTGCATATCATAACGCAATTTCAAACATATTATCTATTTTAACTGAACACCTACTGGTGTAATTGTTTAATTTTCATTTAAAGTAGGGAAAATTATTTTTGTGTGTTTTGTTTCTATTTTAACTAAAGCAATTTGTTGAACACCTCGTTGGTTAGAAAATTTATTTTCACTGATTACATTATTGGAATTTTAATTCTAAAATTATAGTGAAATAACCACCATCAATATGTCAATCAAATTAACTGTAAAGTTTATGGTAAAGACCGTTCTTTTCGTCTACGGTTTTAAAACAGCTTACCACTAGTATGGTTGAAAAATCATGAATACAAAAATTATTCTGTTTTTTAACCACTTACAACTAGCATGGTTTCAAATCCACAAAAAATTTATCTGGGCATTGATAAATTATCAGCTTTATGGCGCTGCCACATGAGAGTATCGTATTCAACTGGCCTAGGGTCACAAATTGAGGAGTGCAATAAACTGGAAACTTTTCCTATGTAGATGTGAATAGAGGAAATATTGTAGACGCTGGGACTCATCTCCCCTTTCTGTTGGTCATGAGATTGACAAATTAGCCTTCTTGCTATAATATATAACCATCTAAAATCACTAAGTGACTTCATTATAGTGGGCCTAGTTAGAGTAATAAAATTTCGTATAATCGTATTAGGTGAAAGCAGTTAGTAAACGCTTTTTTTCTAGCAGTTAAGCGTTTGAACAGCATTTTATTTGACTGTTTTGTTTGAATATGATAAAATAACAATTAAATAAACAGTTTTTTAACCATTTTTTCTGAGAAATTTCAAACAGTGAAGGAAGGAATTAAATTATACTTTTATTTCAGTTTTTTAATTGTGACTTTCAGTGAGAACACATCTTACAATAAATATAACTTTAACTCACAGAATTACATGCAAAATTTATTCCTAGATGTTGAGGGGTAAAATCCATTAGCAATTTAAATTTTGTTTATTTTTAACTAATCTTAGATTTATTGTTATCAAAAATTCTGCAGATATGTTGAAGAACTGGAATGCCGCAATAATTTATGCGAAATACACATTACGAGTACAATACAATACGTCATACAATAATTTATATGATACGATAATAACGAAAAATAATAAGTTTATGGAATTTTAAATTGCAAAAGTCTTTATATAAGTTAATTTTAAGTTTGTTAAATGAATATATTTAGTAGTAATAGCTAGAAGCTTTTCAATGGTTAGTATTGTCTGAGTAAAATTCGCAACTAGATGTTTACCTACCGTTCTACATTGAAACTTTTATTTTGTAAATATGTTGTAAAAAAGTGAAAAAAATTGTACTGATTCCTATTTTATATAGATGTCTATTTTTAAATGATAATAATTAAAAAACTATCATTTGACAGAGTAGCGTCAAATGGATTGAGTAAGCAAACTAATAAGTAAATCAGCAAATCAATTAAACCGAATGTAAAAGTATCAGTGATTAAATTTAAAGCTCAGCGAACCAATGAAGGAAGAAAATAATCAATAATCATACCAATGATTTATCAAATAATATTGGATCAAATAAGGATTAATTCAGTAAGTTAGCAAGTCAATCAATGAGTCAATCAATTAACAAATTAGGAAATCAATGACTCAATGAAAAAAGAATCTATAAGCGAATGGGTGAATTGATAGAAAGTGAATAAATGAATAGGTGTGATAAGGAGTCAATTAATCAGGGAGTTGAAACTCTTAGGTAAAAGAATAAGCGCCATTAGAACGTAAAAGAATAATGAATAATCACAGATGCGTCTTTTGATTCATGAATATTTTGTTCATCGCTTAATCTTCTTTTATTGACTCACAGATAAGATGATTTATAGATTTACTCATTCTTATGTTCTCTCTTTGATTCATTCATTTGATGAATTCCTGATTAAAATGTACTGATTCATTTTTTCACTCATACGCTGATTTAGTTGTTCGTTGATTTACTAATTCGTTTATGTGAATCGCTCTTTTATGGATTCACCGTGCTGTTGATTTTTTTTTACCCATGGATTTTTCTGACAAATGGATAATTTGGACACTTACACCTAAAAAATGAATACTCTAATTTCACAAAACTTTCTTCCTTTTTGAGGAAACCGTTTCTTGCCATATGATTCAGGCGAATTTTTTGTCAAAGTAACTAAATAACAATCGTCACTTCTTCAAGGAAACGGATGTCGTCATTCTGTATTTTTTCCAATGAATAAATAAATAAATAAATAAAATTGCAGTGCTTTATGTATCTAACCTTTCTAAGAATCACTTCATCGTAGTCACCAGCTAGCTGAATCAATGTCACTTTAACAACACAAGAAAGACAGATAGATCAGAGAGATGGATTAGACCCTTACTCTAAAGCGGTATTTAAACCCGAGATCCTCCTGGAAGAAGGCTAACTCCGTGAAAACAAAACATTCCAGTCCACTATATTTTCATAACTTTATTTTTATTCTCGATCGTCTAGTCTTCATCCTAATTTCGTCATTTCAATTAACAATCTCTTACAATGCGATACAAGTTAAGGAAACATATTCTTCATATATTTGAGTCCACGTTTCATCACAAATCATGTGATTTCGAGACGAAATGATACTCAAAATGAACGAAATACAGCTCAAGGATTGCTTACTTTTCAAAAGTGCAAGAGTTTTATTTCCGAGAGAGTATTTTTATGTGTGTAATAAGAGCGGGTTTCGAACTTAAAATCAATATAAAATTTTATTCAGGTCTTTCCTAACCTCTGTAATTAGAACAAGAAAATACAAATACTTTTAGATACTTCCCATTCTTATCTGCCTTCTAACATCCTTAATACCCACATTACGCAAACAATGGCTTAAAATAATTGACGCCTTTGAGTGCTACAAGAAGTATTTCTATAAAGAAAATACGAATACTTTTAGATACTTCCCATTCTTATCTGTCTTATAACATCCTTAACACTTACATTACACAAACAATGGCTTAAAATAATTGACGCCTTTGAGTGCTACAAGAAGTATTTTTATAAAGAAAATACGAATACTTTTGGATACTTCCCATTCTTATCTGCCTTCTAACATCCTTAATACCCACATTACGCAAACAATGGCTTAAAATAATTGACGCCTTTGAGTGCTACAAGAAGTATTTTTATAAAGAAAATACGAATACTTTTAGATACTTACTATTCTTATCTGTCTTCTAACATCCTTAACACCTACATTACGCAAACAATGGCTTAAAATAATTAACACCTTTGAGTGCTACAAGAAGTATTTTTATAACACCAATTATGATAACTTAGAATATAGTCTATATTTGAAGGTACAAGATTCCTGTTTTAGCTTATGATAAAGAATAACAAAGCATGTTTTACTAAAATTATAATTATTACCTAAAATTACAAAGAAATAATCATCATATGCTCTGAATATATGCTAAATGCTCTGAATTTCATGATGAAAAGTAAAATTTAGTTTGGAACTAATGTCAAAGCAACATGAATTTCTTGAACTGAAAATAGGATTTTTTCCAGATATATATGAAGAGAAATCAGCCAAAGGAATTTTGGTCTTTGGTGAGTGAATCTTATCCAAGAGTGACAGAAAGAGCTTTAAAGGAATTGTTTCCCTTTTTGCCGACTTATCTTGGCGAGTAAGGATTCTCAACTCTGCTGCAGATGAAAACGAATCAAAGAAGTAGATTGGAAGTTGAAAGAGACCGTTGTTTGATCTTTTCAGCACCTCTCCATTTATCCGGGATGAAGAAGAAAATAACAGGTTTTTCTATTTAAAAAAATTGACTAATAGTGTACTTTGTTGTAATACTGTTTTTCAAATAATTTAATAATTTGACTGTTTTTTTTTAAATATTAAAATATTATTTGCGTACCTAAAAAATAATTAATATATGTATAATATCGTATATATATATATATATATATACAAAAATAAATACAAGAAAACACGAAGAAAGTTAAGAAAAACA